GCGGCTCAGCTGTTGTCAAAATAGGGAGTCATTCAAGCGACTTGTGCTTCAAGCTGGCTCTGGCTTGATAAGCTCAGTGACTGAGCAACTATTTGAAGTGATATTCCAGAAGGTGCCAGGAAGTTTTATGAAATTTTTGTGCTCTGAAGTATAATTCTTCTCGCTTGTCTCACTTGTCCCTGTTATCCCTTTTATTTCTGTACTACTCAACCAAAAATTAACTGTGTTTTTGAGGAAAGGACTAGGCAGTTTTAATTACAAAAAAGAAGTTTAAGGAGAAAGGGCTTAACACTTTTCACATAGCACATAAAATCTTACCCCATTCAGACAACATTTCTATAGAATTAAACTTCCTTCCTTCCAGCTGGGTAAAAGTCGTCTCTGCAACCCATTATATCTGATTAGTAGCTCTTGTATTAGCAAACTGACATTTAAAAATATATATAACACTGTAAACTGCTTTAAAAAGTTAGGGTAAGCAGACCATTTCTCAAAGGAAAAACTGTATTTTTTTTCATTCTGTCTACAACTTCACACATTAAAAATATATTTTACATTTGAGTATTCTGATGCGGAAATGCGAAATATATGGGCAATATGATTTCTTCACTGCTGACCAGCATTTTAGATTTTTTGTCTTTTTGGAAGGTCAAAACCAAGTTTAAAATGGTAGAGATCTTCTAGCCTTAATAATAAAATCTCTGCTGTAGCTATTATACAGTACATCCTAGAATTTCTTTCTCAGACTAATTTACTAATACTAAAAATGTATCAATGCTCAGGTTGATCCAAATACAACTGGTTTTTCTGTCTCACAGAAGCCTGTCCTCTGGAGAAGAATGTCATAGGCGTGGTAGGAATCCATTTTCCCCTTTGCAATCATTACTGCAGAACAAACAAGGCACACTGAATCGTAGAATCATCAAGGTTGGAAGAGACCTCTAAGATCATCAAGTCCAGCCGTTACCCCAACACCACCATGCCTGCTAAACCATATCCCGAAGTGCCACCTGTACAAGTTTTTTTGAACACCTCCAGGGGTGCGGACTCCACTTCTGTGATATCCAACCTAAACCTCCCCTGATGCAACTTGAGGCCATATGTAAGATATATTCCTGTATTGTCTCGGGAAGTCTCGGGAAACAGCAATGCAGATGTCAGACAATTTTGAGAGCAACAAGGCATCAAACTGGCGTATACCACTCAGTAATGCAGTTTTGTTTGAAGGACAGAATTCCAGTATTCAACCAGCTGTGTTCTCTGAAAGGGTGGAGATGCAACATCTACCTGCACCTCGTTCCTAGGGACCTGACCCCTCTGCAGAGCTCAAGCACATGAATTAGAGGAGTTAGCAGCGAGCTAGTCAGGAGTATGAACTGAGGATAGGGATGCGACCTCAGGACGGACACTTAACCGTTGACTCTCCTGTTCAGGAGAACTCTCTTCTGATAGGGTAGGAGCTTAAGCATTTTCTTTTAAACACCATCAGTCATTGCATTCTTCTCTTACATATAAGCTAGTTTCTTTCCACATAAGCACCGTAGGGAAGAAAATGTCATTTTCCTTTCTGCCAGCCTGAATGGACTCACACACACAATGTCTCAGAGAGCAGGTCCTAAAAAATCAAGCTATGTTATAGTGGAGGGAAGGGACAACCAAACACTTCCCTTGCAGTTGTCTAGCCGTGAAATGCGAGGTGATTCATTGGGTCAGGCAGAATGAGAGTCCACCAGACACATGCATCTAGGCAAAAACCAGTCACTCTTGTTGGAGCAGGAGGAGGAATCCCCCTCTAGCAAATGAAGAGA